AAATGCCTGGAGAAGTCCCTCTACTGTGTAAATTAATGAAAACATATGAGCTGCGATAGTTCAGTCATCCAACAAGAGACGACAATGACATTTTTGGAAGAAGAATGCCCCGAAACATCAACTGGTAGAGACACAAAGAGCACAGATGACCACCACTGCTGCCAGCCGTAGCAGATATTTCAGAGAATCTGCGATATGTAGCTGCTGCCATAAAGTCGCTGGGATTTTCTAACTTTTCTATTATTAACAAGTGCTTTGAGAAGTATAGCAAACACAGGCTACAGCTGTGTGTGAGTGTACAGTCTGAAATGAAATGATGAGATTAAGCAAGCTTTCAGCCGCTTTCTTATTCACACGGGGTCACCAAAGCAAGGATCTTGGCTTGTTAAACTGATCATAATCCAACCATCTGTACTGGACAGTATCAGCTTTTTAACAGCCACTTTTCTATCGGTGCATTAGATTACCAATTTACTGATGGCAATGTTTTTTATTTATTCTGTCAACTTAATTTAATGATGACTGAATTTAAACAGAATCTAATGGAAGATTTTAAACAATAACTTATTGTTTAATTATTGTCAATACTATTCTCTTTAGTACTTTGTTTTAAGGCCAAATAAAAGCAAAAACATTTGCATAACATTTAGATTAATTTTCAATCAGTGGTTCTCAAACCTTTTCTGGCACGCCCCACTTAATCCTACTCCACTAACATTGGGTGATTGTCATCCATGTAACTATAGTCACATGATTTTCATTGTATTGCTTTAGAGCCTTTTTATAGGGTCCCCATGATACCTTTTTTCGTTTAATGCAGTAACTCAATGCCCCACAAGTGGCATCTACCCACAGTCTGAGAACTACTGTCTTAAACATTGGTATCAAGATACGGTCCACATTTTAGAGTTTTTGCACTTTTCTCATCTACTCTTATTTGTTTGTGAACTTGCTATAATCCCACTGTGAGTTCTGGAAACTGTAAAATTAAAGGCAACAGAAGGGAAAAAGTGTAAATGTGGTGAGATAGATGTAAAACTTCCACTCTACAAAGCAGCATAATAACTCCATGCACAGATGGAGATGCACTGGTGCTTATATTGCTAGAATTCTGAATCTCTTAATGACTGTGTACTAATAATTATGACAGAAATGGCTTAGGATGGCAGCTAATCAGCTGCAGGTCTTTTTGCATATCACACGATGTATTAGCAGCTCATGCTCCATTTAAATCTGTGTTGAAGAGTTGAAAAAGTGAATAAACTTTAATTTCAGTGGGTTTTTTTGGTCTGTTTTGGGTCTGTGGTACATACCTCTACTA